AACGGATCTACGAGACAATGAAAGGATCCGGATTGGAGGCCCGAGTGGGATAAGCCCATCGAAAGAGAGGAGTGGGGGTAAATACCAAGTGTGAAGAGGCCACACCCGGTTTGCCACAAAAGGGCACACATTTTGATGATTGAAATGTAAACAAGTGAGAAGTTATGATAGGGCGGCAGTGGAATAAGAGGGTAAAGAGTAGATAGATAGGCCAGGACAGAAAAAGTGATAGTGTAACCGTTTCCAGAAGAACGGTTGTCGAGAGATTGACTTCACTTGTCTCTTTGACGAGTTCGTATCTTGGTGCGGAGACTGACAAGGCTCACTGATGATGCCGGCGAAACGTTTGAGAATGTATCAAGTCCACGGTCAGATGCTGGGAATCATGACTACTATGGCAAACGACTTCGGACTAGGTGCGTTCTATATGGTTTCCCTGAAAACAAGACCAAGTTGCGACAACGAGGTCAACCCACTTCTATACTGAAGATAGTCCGTGACCACCTTATAAAGGAAGCTGTTCAAGATTAATTGGTTAATTAAGAACACATAAGCAGATAAATCACAGGAAACATAGTGGAATGAGGAAACAAAATTTTCTTTGTCTGAAATATTTTAAATGATATAGCCTAAGATAAGATACCATACAAAATAGAATAAAATGCAGACGTGAAGATTAGTCATAGGCTTATCAATAGCAGGATGCGCATCATTAATGTATAAGCTGTGCGCGCATTTACGTTCATAAATTTGCACATTAATGTACACAAATTATTTTTCAAGTAGTGGAAATGCTATTTATTAAAAAAAAACTAAATTGCTCTCGAATATCTGCAAGATTTTAGATATTATTATTATTTTCCAACCTTAGAGATGAGAGTGACGGGACACAAGATTGATGCATACATTTCAATATTCTAAAGCCTTAGCGAATGTTTCAAATGCTTGATTGTTAAGTATATATCTCAGTCGTGTCTGACCAAGTGAATTGATTATTAGTCCACCCCATTGATAGTTCGCATGGACTATTACAGTTAAGAGTCGAATTGATCTCGACATTTGTTTGTCTTTAATCATGTTTATATCTACAGATGTAAAGCAAAAAAAGCATTTCAGGTAAATGGCTGAATTTAAGAAAAGTAAAGCAAATCCCATAAGTAACTGCAATTTATATAATTTATCAATTATTATCTGCTTGAATAAGAATATGAGGCATGAGTTAAAATGTTCATGTGCCAACCTAGCAAAAAAGGTAATCTTTAAAATGAATTTAAGGCTAGCGAAAAAAATTAATATAGGTGAAAATGATGATGAAAAAAGGGGCGAAGCAAAACATTGAAAGCACCAGAGTAAGACTATTAAATAGCCATGCAGCAAGTGAGAACATCGAATTATAATAATTTCATTATCATACTCAATTACCGATCCTATTCTCGAGACAAATGATTGACTGGCAGACCAAAAACAAATTAATAAGAACGAATGCAATTTAGTCTGGACGAAAGGAGCAATTAAGGATAACAAATTTTGAAAAAAATAGCCGAATTTTCAAGCTTAACGAGCGGTGCCCACTTTGACAATAAATAGCAAAAAAAATGTTCATTGCTTAAGAATTATATTTTTATTGCCAAATACGAACTCACTTGATAACAAAGTGTAAGAGTGCTAAGTATCCGCTTGAAGAGTACACGAGCCGTGATACCGGGCCCAAGGCGTCGGGCCAGCCATACAAGACTGTCTGCTGCCAGGTTTGGCAGGACGAGTGTGGTCGCACAATGTTCACAGACACCATGGCTGCCAGACAGATTGTTGGTAGTTGGCTTGAATGAGCAAGTAGGTTTGCGTACATATGCCGGTAGTCGATTAAAAAATTGTTCTCGGCTGAAGCAAGTAAGAAAATAAGATGGTTTAGTAAATTAAAAAGGATGCAATAAAGTGAGCAAAAATTAATAAGGAATTAAAATAGAAAGAATAGTTAAGAGAAAAGCAAAATAAAATTCCACGTGTATAGGGATACTGAGAGAGAACTGCTTCCCAGGATAATATGCTGCTAGTTTATTAGGTGAATGGCCATCAAAGATACTACTCCAGCATTCACCCTATTTCGTCTAAGGTGAGGAAAGAGAAGTTGAATTTTTCCTACAATTATATGAGTAGGCCTTACGTTTTCAATGAAGTTCTCAGCGTTGTTTCCCAAAGGCATTCTCGGTAACGTGTCAGGATTATATGCTGCACTGACAGGGTTCGAGTCCCGCTGGGGGTGCTGATTAGGCCTAGGTGAGGTCGAAGCTGAAGTCCATCCTGGATGAGAATAACTTTTGGAAAGCAAGGTATGCGAAATCAAATGGAAACGTAAAGCCCACTTGTACCATTGTTGGAAAAATTCAACTACAAATCCTTTATTATCTTAAACGAAATAGGGTGAATACATCTCATATATATGATCTACCGTTGGTCTCACTCCAGTATGTTTGCGACAAATAAAGAAAGGAGAGACGGATTAAGGTTGGTAAAATAATCATTAATAGTATTAAGGCAAATACCGAGAAAGTGAAGATAGCTAAGCTAATGGAGTAGGGTGTTCGCAGAAGAGAAGTAGCAGCACGCAAAGGCAGACTAATGTATCAAGGATACATCAAAAACAGAACGGTGCCCTAATAAATGGAGGAAGTTAAGAAACGATTAGCTAAAATGAATGGAATCTTCTTCCAATCTCTGATGAGACCATTTGAGAAATCCATTCGTCGTACATTTAAGTGCGTGCCTTAAATTTCTTTATTCTTTCTAACATG